GTGCAGTGGCGCCAAAAATCACTTATGGTCAGAGAGCTGCCTATAGAATCTGATAGTACCAGAAAAGGTGAGACAATCAAAAATCGTTGTAGGTTTCATTGGCGGTGATCAATCATTATTCAGTGATTTGTCAACGCGAATAGCCAAGTTTTGTAAACTACATATAACGTTTATAGAAACTTTATCAGGCATCTATTCTGAAGTCATTAAGGCATAAAGTGACTTGTCGTTCGACCGTATATTGAAAACTTTTCGTTTATTGCTTGCCATTGAATTTTCCTGAGTGGTCAACATATTTCTTGCAATATATAAAATTTTTTTCACAGCAGCAAAGATTTGTAACTACATTGTGTAGTTACAAATCTTTGCTGCTGTGAAAAAAAATTTATATATTTAATTCAAAAGTCGCTCATTCACTTACGTATATTTCTTGCAATCAAATAGACCACAAACCGTCCTATTCAATAGTGTTTTTGACTCATAAAATTTTCCTATTTTTTTTAAGGAACAAGAAATCTCCTGTTCTCATCGAATATTAGCCTTAATTCCATGCTAAAACATAATGTGCTTTTCAGAGATCAGTAATTGTTTTTTTGAATATTGGCGAAGACGTCTTTCGAAGTATTTGAGACTCGATTGTCGAGTTCCGACTTGAGATTTGATTCTCGTATCAAAAAAAAATGTAACAGAATCAATATATCTTAAAGAACTTGTATGTGTATTTTAGCTTTTCTAGAGAATTCTGATATGCCTAATCTTTATGTTTATGGTCATCACAGAACAAATGTAAAAGTAGCGATATAAAAAGCTATGAAGCAATCAGTCATGTGAGTCAATCATAACGAATCCGCTCTACTCATTGAATTTTATCTATTGACGATCTTTCGAAATCGTTCGAAAAATTCTCTTGCAGTTGTGTATGTTAGGCCTCATGAAGTCATCTCGTAGCTTGTATGCAACTAAGACACTTTAGTGACTGAAAATTCAGATTAACAACCGAGCACAAATTTGGCTTTCAGGAGGATTCAGTTTTGTGAAAATTGATACCAACATTAAACAAGTATCAATATAGTATGATCTATATGTCATATACTCTCTAAAAAAAAGGTGCGATAGGGAACCATTAAGGATTTTGGCGAAGATCCTGAACCTTTTAAGGTTCTAGATGTGGGTACCTTTTTCTGAGCTTTTTTAAATTCTAGCCAAAAAGTCCAGAACCTTAAAAGGTTTTAGCCAGAAAGTGTAAAACTTTAAGCAGTTCAGACTTTTTCGGCTAGAACTAAAAAAGGTTCAGAAGACAGTGCCGACAGCTAGAACCTTTTAAGGTATTGTATGACACCTTTTTTTTAGAGAGCAGAAAAGTGTTCATATGTCATGACGACGCTTATCATATTTACACTCAAATTAACACGATATGGTAAGCATACATAGATTATTGTACAATGAATAAATTGTCACTGAGTTAATTTTCTATCGTGTGGAACGAAAGAATTAAATCTCTCAGTATTTTGCCAATATATTTTTCAATTTTTATCTCCTCAGGCTGTTTTTCTTGAAGATTAGTCGCTCTATTCTTTATTATATATGATATTATTTATTAATGTAAATACGTGCCATCCTTTTGCGATACCTGATACAACAGATTGTTTCACCAAGAGCTATTTTCAAATGCAACTGATTTTCGAAAATTTTTTATCGCCGATTCTAAGTATTGAATCAATATTTGTTTTCATTTGACTTATTTCAGTACATGACATGGAGATGCTCATTCCATATGGAATAGTTCAGAGTGTTGAAATCTGGACTATTCCGTGGCCGATGATCCTTACGTATAAATGTGGACAGTTATTCTTTCACTGTTGTTGAGTTGAGTGATGAGTATGCACCTTTGCTCTGCCTTACTGCAACGTCTAATCGTCGTCAGAGACTTAATTTCCATATTTCAAGACTACAGAAAACACCTCATCGATGAAATGAGTATGATGAATGGTTCCCTTATCCAAGATCACTTACGATGTAATATCTTTTGCACATACATACAAAGGAGCCAATAACTTTTTGTCGACACTTAGGTTTTTTTTTGATGTCATCACGTTGGCCGACGTCGGCGCGATCGATTGTCTACAGTTGATCGTATTACATTTTGTGCATACCATCATTCTCAAGCAGTTTTGTGGAACTCACATATGCTTTTAAAGAAAATAGTGAGTGTAAGTTTTAAGTCAAAGTTTGGCGGCTTCCACACTCCATTACAGGCAATCTCCATTACAGACTTTAGCAACTGAGGAAAATAGACGTCAGATTTCTTAAGATTTTGTTGCAAAATTGATCACATAATAATTTAGAAAAATAGTGAAAAACTCTTTGTTCGAAATGCAGAATTTCGAGAGGTCCTTGCTTTAGTGGTCGATTATTCTGTGAAACACTAGTCTACAAGATATTTTTCATTTTACGTATTTTATATTTGTTTAATGATGTTAGAGAGCATATGTGAGTTTGCACATTTCAGCTCCATAGGGCTGCACTACCAAGCTTTTTCATCGGAAAAATGATCTATATCATGTCTTCTTTTCGAAAATTTGTTGGTCTTCAAGTGCAATTTTTTTTGCTTGATATTGTCATCATTCATTAATAATGGCTCGATCATTTTCTTTTAAAACAGAAATCCCAGCTCGTTTTTTTTTTCAAAATTCGATTAACAGTCCTTTGAGAAATGCCTAATTCACCACACAATTTTCGAACCGGCATTTTTCTCTCCCTATAGCCGATTTTTTTTCTTTTTTGAATAGCTTCTTCTTTGTGGACGGCAATAAGACTGTTTCTCCCCAGACAGATGCTCTTGGGACAGTTGCTTCCGGGACACTTGCTCCCCAGACACTTGCTTCTCGATGAAAGTTGCTCCATCTTGATATCTGCTTTATTGAAAAATCAGAAGTACTTTTTGAAGAGTCACAAGTAAATATTACCTGAGGAGCAGCTAAATTAATTACGAATTAATGCAGGATTTGGAAAACACGAGGGGTGTGGGTACGTGGATGTTGGGATCGGTGTACGCTCTGAAAAAAGTGGTACAATACGGAACTAAAGATGTTCTCGTGCGCGCTACGAAACTGAAAGAGTTTCGTGTCGGGTACGGAACTCAAAAATGGTTTCGAATTTCTCAACTAAATCGAAACTTTTTTAACATTGCGTACAAAAACTTCAAAATCTTTTTAAAAATTTCCTAGTTTTGGCAATCATTTTGAATATATCTTGGATTCGTACGAAATCTTAAACAAGGTTACAAATTCGTTGTGAATATTGTTCACAACGGTACCATGTCTTTAGTGTGGACGCGGATGTAGTTGTGGGTGTAGGTGGCAGTATGTGGGTGTCATCGCGATTGTCCTATTTTCGTCATTCACATCTACACTAGCATTTTGAATCCAGCATTAATTTGTAACTATTTTAACTGTTCCTTAGCTAATATTTACCTGTGACTCTTTAGAAAGTACTTCTGATTTTTCAGGGATTCCGGATCTTCGCCAATAAAACTTTCGCCAAATAGCACTTTCGCCAATGGCGAAACTCCACTATACTATCGCCAATAGACACACTGGAATATCGCCAATTGGCGAATGTCCACTGTACTTTTGCCAACACACTTCATGGAGTTTCGCCAGTTGGCGAAAGTATAGGAGACTTTCGTCAATTTAATTGCTAATTAGACGTGAATTAGAAAATGTGCATCGACTATATTAATAAGCTACGTTTGTGTATGTTGTAGTCATATATTTTTTTATGGCATTTTAGATAATAATTATGCTGCCCCTTGTTAGCGTGAAATACAAAATCATTAGCTAATACAGTCAAGTCTCTTTCTCATCTTGTTGGTGAACCTGTTTTGTCGTGGACGAAAGGGAAAGAAAAAAAATTAATGTTTCGAAATCAGACTTATCAGGTGCATCATCAGATGAACATTAGATAATGCTTTATTTGCCTTTTTCTTCATATTAATCTCGGTTTTTTCTTATTAAAAACATGACTCCCTCATATATGAATATACCCTAAGCGTAAGCTATAGTATATATTCTAACAGTATTAGCTTTAGCCCTTACATGTATCCTGTATTAATATTATTTTGTGACAGCTGACAAAACTCCACTATACTTTCGTCAATTGGCGAACGTCCGCTGTACTTTCGCCAATACATACCTTGGAATTTAGTCAATTGGCGAAAGTCCACCGTATCTTCGCCAATACATCCCTGTACTTTCTCCATTGGCGAATGTCCTATTGGCGAAAGTCCGAATTGGCGATCTTCCGGTAACCCGGAGGTACAGTATAGTACAGGGAAGTACAGTGGAAGTACAGGGGAGCACAGAGGAGGTACAGGGGATACAGTGGAAGAACAGGATAGTACAGTGAGAGTACATACTCCAGGAGTCACGCTTTTCTCCCTTGAGTTCAACCCTTCACAGGGGCCTCTAGTCTATCTATATTTTCGATCGTAAACTTGAAATGTTCATATCTTAGCCAAATAAGCCCATTCAAGGAAATCCTTTTAGGATCCATCTAGTCTCACTAAGCACTACTTATGGCGTAAATATGAGCCTTAAAGCTTTTAATCAGTTGATGGGGTTCCCTCGTCAGATATCTTAGCCAATAAATGATGAAAAGAAAAGTTATTTTTTCCGAATCCATAGCTTATTGAATTCTCTACACAATGTTTGAAAACTATCTTAATCCGATGCTTTATTAATTTAAATATTTAATTTTCATAAATGAGTCAAAAATGATCCAATGGAGGTAAAGGGTTAATGTTCTGTGAATGAAATCATCGATTCTTTTTCTGTACATAAACCAATATCTACAATATTCAACCGATAAGCATCATTGGAAATTAATTGTTAGCAAGTGAATAAAAATAGGCAAGATAGTATCGTCTACTCAGTTACCATTAAACAGTATAAACATTGTCATTCGTTCTTAATAATGGGACTTTTGGTTACGGTCGATTGTTATATTTGTGGTATCACTTGGTTAACATTTATTTTTATTCGTCGCCATCGATAAAGATGAATATCTAAGAGAACATATTTTAACTGATGACGAAATCGTTCAGAAACGCACATATAAATATAAAATGGACCCTAAAGAATTAATAAAACACTTTAGAATAAAAATTAAACAACTTTTCATACTTACAGTAAAATATAGATAGTAAAACATTACAGCTATAACATTAGCTAATTGAAATTCTGCATTGGCAAGAGGATCTCGATTAATATGTGGATTGAGGGATAAAAAGCCAAAAGTCATTATTGGTAAGAGAGTAACAAAAGTGAAAAAATCTTGTACAAGAATCATCACTGTCAATTGTTTATCCAATTCACGTCGAACAAGAGGTACTGTTCGATAAGCAATATCTTTTACATTTCGATAAGTCAACAATCCAAAAACTAAAGTAATAAAGAGAGGTAGAATATTGCTAATTGTGAGACGATAGAAATAAATATTTAATTGGATGAAGAAAGTATCGGTAGCAGTACACATTATTTTTCCTGTAACAGGTACTACACTGTGAGTATTATAAATGAAACATGGAATTGCTGTTAGAATACTGAAGATAATAGATGCTGCCGATAGATAACAAGCGGATTTTAAATTACTCCATCGTTGCCAGCGAGGATGATGACAAGTAGCCAAATATTGATCAATTGTTGCAAGACACATACATAACATTGATATATTTGTACAAACTACGAGAAGATACATTCGAAACTTACAGTAAAACAGGGAAAGTTGTGTCCAATCAATGCCTGACGCATTGCTTGCGATACGAGAGAGTAAACCTGTAAATAATTGTCCAATATTGACAAATGACATGACATTGAGAAAAAAAGCACATGGATTGTTTCGAAAAGTACGAAGACTAAGAAAAACAATAGTTGTAAGTAATCCGCCAATTACACCACCAATGAATAGACAGATGCCAACATAAATGTTTATTTGTTGAGAAATAAAATTCAAAGTCGCAATAAGTGACGATGATGACATTTCTAGTCTTATTGATTTTCTTACTTTAGTGTTAAGCTGTACTTCTTTGTTGGTCTATGTTGTTGCAGAAAAAAAAATGGAAAAGAATTAATTAGTTGCACAATGAAAACGACTGTCACGATTTGTCCTGAAGTTGTGTCTACTAGATTTTATTCTGTTCATCTCATGCGATGGCAATTACTTTTGTCAGAAGTAATTCATGTGAAAGAGAATGAAGGATTCTTTTTTGTGATGTTCATTTGTCGCAGATAATTAGCGTCTTTTGCATCAAATCATGACGGTCAATTAAAAAAGAATATATTCAATGTGAACATCTTTCTGTCATTTAGAGATATATATGGAAATGTTAATTAAAAATATTTAATAATGGAGAGTGGTAGACATAATCTAACTTTATTTTATTTTACTTCTTAGACATGAGCACAAGGGGGAAACGGCGGACTTTTGGACTTGAAGTTACTTTGAGCTACTTTAAGCTACTTCAAGTTACTTTAAGCTACTTGTTCCTACTTTGGACTACTTGGGTGGTACTTTGAGCTACTTCAAGTAGTCTACTTTCACGTACTTTGACGTACTTTTCTACTTCAAGTCCGCCGTTTCCCCCTTGCATAAGCATGTCACCAAATCAGCAGGATACACGTCTTTATATTGGTATAGAAGACAACAAAGAAAAGAGAAATATATAGACTTATATTTAATTGAGCAATAAAATAACTTAAATGAGCAATGTCCTTCTTCTTTGCTGATAATCTTGCAGCCGTATTGGCGGGACAAATCGGATTAAAATTTATAGAACAATGTGTTGATCTGGAACGAAGACTACAAAAGTTCTTCGAACAACTGGAATTCTACTCGATATTAGTGGTGCAACCTAATAATTACTCTAAAACACAAATTATGTTCTCGGCGGGTGCTGTTTGTTATCCGAACCCAATGCCACAAGTTCGATGTGGAGATAATACGATCGAATGGACTTCCTCGTTCAAATATTTAGGATACTGGTTAACAACTAGGCTTGGGTGGGGAAATATCATCAGTAAAACTCGAGTAAAGGTACGTCAGAAAACCGCATGAGTAAATTCGTTCAGAATTAATGATACATCGTCAACTCAACTTTGAAGAATTCTGTTTTCTGCCTTTGTACTACCTTACTTTACGTGGTTGTTCGGAATTTATCCCTTATTCACTGAGAGGCAGCGCACGGACCTTAATCATCTATATTTTACGCTGTTAAAACGTATATCTTGGTGTCAATGCTGGGATGACTTTGTCTTCTCGTCTATTTATAATGAAAAATCGTTAGATGATCTCTGCTTCGGTTATTGGGAAAAATATGCAAAGGGACTATCGAAGTCAAGGGATGGATCCCTGTTATTGGAACAATCAGAATTAAATTCTCACAGATCAGCTTGGCAGATGGGTACACAACGTGTTCGCTGTCTGCATAGATCCAAAAGATTTGTATCTCATACAGACGTATTAGGTCAAGTGTTCAACTGGATGACAATGCAAGGTTCTGCTGACTCAGTAGTAGCACACAAGGAAGAAGAACTACTATCTTTTGCTATGTTTTCGGAAAGTTTTTTGTAAGAAATTTCGTTTAAACTGATTATAGATCACGTTGACAAAAAAAGAAAGGAACTACTTAGGGGTATCCAAAAGTAGTGGCAACGACATTTTATTACCATATTTTAGGGTTGATAAAAAATTCTTTTTACATAGGATGATAGAGCGGAAAATGCTCTATCTTTCTATGCTATTTGATCGTACTTCGCTTGACGTCATAATAACAAAATTCTAATAAAACTAGTTTGCCTAACATGTTTATCGGTTATAGAAGTTCACAGTGTCTCCAATATGCATTCTTTTCGTGATCTTTTCTTTGTTTTTCTTCTTTCCTTTATTCTTTTCTCTCGT